TATGAATCGAGGTAGCACCCGGCAATCCGACGTTGAGCCACGAATGTGGTCCCTTCCTATGCCGCCCACGACAACTGGATCAGATAGACAACCCATCCACTTACCCTCGAAAAATATAGAATTATCTTTGGGGTCTGTCTTTCTTTCGAAGAAAGAGTTGATTTGTGCTATTCAACTGTATCACTTGCAACAAAAAGTTGAGTGTCGAACACCCAAATCCTGCACTTCTAGGTTAAAATATGTTTGTCAGTATGAAGGGTGTTCTTACAAGTTATGTGCAAGGGCAAACCGAGATGTATGGGGAATCACTACTTTGAAACTCGAGCATACATGCGAAGGGAGTTTGACGCACAATCGACATCGTTCGGCTAATTCCAAGGTTCTCGCTCATATTTACGCATCAACTATTCAGACAAATCCCTAGACGGTATCTACACGGAGAATTATTGAACAAATGCGGGAGGAGCATGGTTTGTTGATCAGCTACAATGTGTCCCTCCGAGCAAGACACCGTGCTTTTGAAAAAGTTTATGGAGGTCATGAAGAATCATGGGGGCGGCTTCCCGGTTACTTGCACATATTGCAGGTTCGTAATCCAGGTACAATTGTCGAACTGCAACGAGATGGCGAGGTATTCCAACACTTGTTCTTTGCTCTAGGAGCTAGCATTGAGGGCTTTCTGTAATATCCCGATATTTTATCGGTATAAATTACGTTTAGTTCCCATATAATAACGTTATCGTTTATTATTTTTGGAATTAATTATTTTCAGTCGGAATTACCGAAATATATTTTCGACGTACCAATTACGTTCGAAATAATTTTGGTAATTAAGCATTATGTTTAATTGAATAATTAAACATGAATTAAGTGATTAATTATAATTAATCACATCATTAAGCCTAAAAACCGTAAGTCATAAGGTGAATTTAGCCTAATTTTATGATAGTGCCGTGCGTGTGTAGTATAGGACTCCAAACATTTCTTAAGCACAAAGGATTCATTTCCTCTTCAAAGTTAAATTTACACGTGTTAGAAGGAGAGATAAGTTGGGGAGATTAGTCATCATTGATCATACTAATAGCAACCAAGTGTAAAGCAAAGAATAAGCCACATCTCACTTAGGTCATCAACTTCCTCCCTCATGGCCGAATATAAAGGAGTGCTTGTACCAAAATTTTTCCCCAAAATTCCTATAAGGCACCCAGCAAATTCAGCATATACATCACCTTCTGTCAACAGCAAATTAATCCAGCAAGTAATTCCCTTATCTCCATCAATCGCTCGGCAATAGTAAGCAACGCACGACGCACGCACATAAAGCAAAGGAAGCACGCCTAGTTCCGATTTCAGTCGAGTGTTTTGAAGAGGTAATCCCCTCCTCAGTTCATGTTTATGATAATTAGGTCATTTCAGAGTTAAGTGTTCGATTAATTTTCGAGAAATTCAGATTAAACCGTGCCTATGTTCGATTAGATGTAAGTAAGATGATGACCGAGTAATCTTTGATTTATTCCGGCAACTCTCGAACCATGATTGTTTAAATGTTCAGTTTATATTATTACATGATCAGTCAGTTCGGAATTATTGAAGCAAATTGAGAATTAGTTGACGAAAGGACCCCAGGCCGTCGCCAGCGCTTATCGCGCGTGGCCACGGGCAGCCTCGGGCCGTGTTTTGCCATTTTCAGTAATGTTCATGTTCACCTAGTTGTTCATGCTTTAAATTGCTTCAGATTAATACTCATGTCATATTGTTCTGAAGTTGTCGATTAATAAGTTACTTCGGCCGAGAGACGGCGTATAGCCGTCGGCGGCGCACGGGCGTTCGCCGCGGCCTTTCATGATCATAGCGTGCATGTGGTGTCTTCAGGTTATGTTCGATAAGCATATTCATGTAAGACATGATAAGTTCAGTGATGTTCAATTTTGGTCGAGATACTTTTAATTTGGTCGAAGGTTGGCCGAAGGCCGTAGGCCTCGTACATAGCGAGCGCCACGGCCGAGTATTAGGTCCGATCAGCAAAATTCAGTCATTTTTGGTAAATTCAGTTTATTGTTCATGTTAGGTCCCAACATGTTAAATTAAGTCAGTTTGGTCGGATGAGTTCGCCGGACGGTCGGCAAGGAGTCGATCGTGGTCGCGCTGCC